TGGTGTGTGTGTGTACCTTACCTAAGCTAATAACCAAACGTTGTACCGTACTTACTAAAAATTTATATCCAATTAAAACACGAATTTCATATTTTGGTTCAGCTTCTATTTATTAACCAGTACATTCAGAGATAGAAATATTTATATTACTTGAGTTGATTATGATACGTCATGCACCTGCACCTAACATTTGACTTCCTGTAATCTGCTTGTGTCAGGTTTCCTTGTAATGATTGATTACGTAAAATAAATCTACTCTCACATTATCGTGAATTTCTTAGTTATCAATCTAAAGTAATTTTAATTCACATTATTTTTTCCAAGGAACGTAATCTTCTGGTGTTCACGGGACCATCACAACTGCCTAGTGTGCCTCATGGCTGACTAGCTATCAACAAGTGAAGTGCCTCTGCACCTCCTCAGATATACGTGAGATAAGGTGTCGTAGCAGCGATAAATCATAATTATCAGAGTCAACACTCCGACGCACTTACCGATAATTTACAGTTTTATTTTTAAAAGAAGAGGAAGACTGGTTGACTGCAGAGTTCAAAGAGGATCGAGTGTGAGGAGCAAAGATTAAGTGAGGTTAAAGGTTGAACCATCTAAACAGTTTCACGTGAATCTTTCATGAACAAAATTACTTAGCCAGCTGTCGTAAAGTTTATAAATGATATGCCTCCTTGTACTTACCTTTCCATACTCTTATTAAAGAACGTCACTAGAATAATCAGTTTTATCTGAGCATGACTGGCGATGGCATTGGGAGTACTGGCGTTAAAAGAGATGTTACTGACATTAGTGACCTAGAATATGCACCCTAGGGTACTGTGTTCCTCCTAAGTTGTTATTGAACCCCTCATAGTGTTTCTTGACGCCTCTACTAACACGATAGCAGCACACACGCACATCCCATCGCTACCGAAGCTCCAAGAAGTGGTTGTGTTGTTCCCTCCCCGCCTTGAACCAGACTGGCATAAGCTGTCAACCCTGTTCTTGGTTCTGAGATACCAGGCTTTGACAGTTACTGATCTAAATTTTAATGACATTATTGAGATTTACAGATGCATCTACAGAATCATCCTTCTATGTTCTTAAGGCTGTTCCTTGTTGCAATTAGTGAATATGTTTCATCGCGGACTAAAACATAAGAGTAGAAACGACATAGACCCAGTAGTCTGTGCCCTCTGTAGAGTAATAGTAGCGGTTGTTGAATTGATTGATTGATTGACTGACTGATTGATTGATTGATTGATTGTGGTAATTAGGCTAAATCCCCGGTGATGCATCAGCCTAGGTAATATGTCGCAGAATTAAAAATAAAATAAAGACAAAATACTAAGATTAAAAAAAACAAGGTAAAGGACATAAGTAACAAAGACATAAAACTTTCGTAAAAAAAAAAAAACCTAAACGTTAATAGATAAAACTCAAAACTTCTATAGAAGGCCGGTTTCCTCCATAATGGAGGATGTCCTTCCTCTAACCCCCCACAACCAAAGAGATAAGGTAAGACACCCCGGCATTAGAAGAGGTGCTAACTACGAAGATTTCTGAGATTGGGGCACTTCACCAAGAGGTGTCGAACAGTCAATGGGACCAGGCAGTTATCACAATAAGAAGGGTACGCCCTCTCCATTAAAAAACCACTAGTCAGCTGTGTGTGGCCAACACGGAGGGGGCCAAACCAGTCTCCCGGCGGCGCGACAGTCCCTGATATCCCCAGGAATCCAATGCAGGATGGACGTTGTGGAGCTTGTTTGCTCCGATAGCATTCCATCTGCGTTGCCAACTCAAGCAGATGGGAGCTTTTATTACTGGCTTCATATCAGAGGCAGGTAGAGGGGAATGATGTGCCACAGGGCGAGAAGCAGCTGCTTTTGCCACAGCATCAGCACATTCGTCCCTCTTCTCCCCCACATGGGCTGGAACCCAGCAAAAACTGACTTTCCAACCCCGATGTTGGATGAGAAACAGCCACTGTTAAATATCTAAAACTAAGGAATGGGGTGATGTGAGACTTGCTAAAGCCTGGAGACCACTGCGAGAAAATCGCTAAAAATTTTAAAATTGCTATAAGGTTGGGTAGAAATAATCTTGAGGGCAAGTAAAATACCTGACAACTCTGCCATACAAATGGATGCCATAATGGGGAGACATAACGTCCAGACAGAAGTCGGGAAAAACTACCCCAAAATCCACCCCTGCATCCAACTTAGAGTCGTTGGTGTAAACTGGGATAGTCCCTCTGAGAGAAGCAGGGGGACCTCTGCTTACCAGTCGTCTCCACTTTCTCCTGGAGAATATATGGGAAATGGAGGAAATCCCCCAGGCTCTTAAAGACGCCCCCACCGTTAATATTTATAAGAACAAGGGAGACCGGTCAGACTGTGGCATTTACCACGGGATCTCGCTACTGTCCGTAGCTGGCAAGATTATCGCCAAAGTCCTCCTAAACAGACTTCTTCCCGAGGCGGAAAACTTACTCCCAGAATCTCAATGTGGCTTTAGACCATTACATGGCACCACTGACATGATCTTTGCTGCCCGCCAGATACAGGAAAAGTGCAGAGAACAGCGTCGTGGCCTGTACATGGCTTTCATCCACCTAACCAAGACCTTCAACTCGGTCAACAGGGAAGCCCTCTGGTGGACCCTCAGCCGTTCTGGCAACCCACCAAAATTCATTGCCATTGTGAGGCAACTCCACGATGGCATGCCCGGCAGTGTCGTGCACAATGGCACCCAGTATGAGTTCTTCCCCATCCAAACGGGGATTAAACAAGGGTGCGTACTGGCACCAACTCTATTTTCCATTTTCTTGGCTGTCTTCCATACTCGTGCCAGCGCAAATTTAGCAGGCGGGGTGGACATTCAGCACCGGGTGAATAGTCTTTTAGGACGATTCCTGGCAAGTACAAAGGTGTCGGCAGCTTTCATTACTGAACTTCAGTATGCAGATGACCACACCCTTGTCACTCACACTGAACACGACCTACAGGAGATCCTGAACACCTATGCAGATGCTTATGCACACTTCGGCCTTGAGGTGCATTTGCGTAAGACTCAGATCCTCTTTCACCTTGTCCCTGGTTCAGCCACACCTCCACCAACCATCCAACTTAACGGTACTACCCTCACTAATGTTACCCACTTTCGGTATCTCGGCTCCCACCTGTCCACAACCGCGTACATTGATGAAGAGATTCAGCATCGGATCAGATGTGCAATTGTGCATCCCAAGCCTTTGGTAGACTCCGAAACCGTGTCTTCAGCTGTTGGGAGCTGAAATTATCTACAAAGTTACACGTATATTGAGCAGTGGTCCTCCCCACTCTGCTATATGGCAGTGAGACATGGGTCACATCAAGGCACTTGAAAACTTTCACCAATGTAGTCTACGTTCCATCCTCCGTGTTCGCTTGGAAGACAAGAGAACAAATACCAGTATTTTTGCTGACACCAACTGTAGGAGCATCGAGGCTACCATTATCCATGAACAACTACGCTGGACTGGCCATGTTACCCGAATGGACGACAGTAGACTGCCAAAGCAGCTACTTTACAGTCACCTAACGAATAGTAAACATAACGCCGGCAGGCAACTGAAGAGGTATAAGGGTAGTCTTAAGGCTCCCCTCACTTGGGAGACGATTACTCCACACCGTAACGCTTGGAGGAGCACCATACAAGATGTCAATACTTTCGAGTTAGCCCGATTGCGCTAGATTCTAGCCCTCCACATATGCAACTTCTATGATCGACTCTGCCGGTCCCGTATCGGCCTCTTTAGTCACCTCAGAACTCACCAACCTAGGTGACATCCTTAATAACTCATATCATGGTTATGCACATCAACCTCTCCTCCGACATTGTCCCACCTCCTTCCATTACCCTAGGTCCGAACACACTCCAGGTTGTAGATTCCACGAAGCTCCTCGGCGTCACCATAGACAACAAACTAAATTGGAAACCACACGTCAGTGAAGTTGTCAAAGCCTCCAGTTTCCGTCTCCACCTGCTCCGCCGACTCAAGTCCCTCGGAGTTCCTGCACACGAGCTCCTCAGTGTATACACAACATTCATACTTCCCAAGCTCACCTATGCCTCCCCCACCTGGTCTTCCTCCCTAAATGCCACACAACGTAAACACCTAGAAAAAGTGCAAAAGAGGGCATGCAAGATTATTCTCTCCCCTTCCTACTCCACATATCAAGAAGCGCTCAACACACTGACCCTTTCGACTCTCACTGACCATCACCACGACCTCATCTACAAATTTGGTAAGAAGCTTCTACACCATCCCCGACACCGGCTCCTACTACCACCTGACATCCCCTGTCCGAGAATTGCTGTTCGACACCACAACCGCATCCAGCCCATACGTGCACGAACTGATCGCTATAAGAACAGCCCAGTCCCAACCATTGTAAAAATTATCAATAACATGTAATAAATCAGTGTATTCACTCCCGGTAAACACTGCTCCTTACACTGTCACTATGTTGAAATGAACTGTAGTTTGAGCTGATCCCCATCTAAGTTATTATATGTCTTATTTGTGTCACTTATGTCACTTGTATATTATTTGTAATTCGTAACCCATTCCCCAAATATGTAACTGTAAATTTTCAGCCTTCTGGCTGCCAAGCTCTTTCAATAAACCGTTAATTATTATTATTATTATTATTATTAATGATAGCTAAGTTAGTAGTAGTAATACCCAGGAGCTGTTCTAGGTTACGGATTGTCCTCATTAACAGAGGCAGATTTTTGTGCCGAAAATCATATGAGTCTTATAAAAAAAAAGTCACTGTTCATTAAGTTATAATTAGATAAAACCAGGAACAATATTTAATGTTAAACAGCAGACAGAAAACTTTCATAAAATCATACCACATACATGTGACATATACGTAGACGTAAGTATGCTAAGCGATATATTCATCATTTGTTCTGTTGAATTGCTTCACTTCTTACCTTGATCTTTAATCCTATAGGTTCGTATGAGCGCTCAGTCCACCACTAACAGCGGGGACAACAGCAAGCATAGCGAGACCAGCAACAGCCAGGAAGAGAACAGACTTCAACAGTAAGACAACGACGAGATAAACACCTTACACAGTACCAGGGAGAGGATGGTCAAAGTGTCAGCAAGAACAGCAGGTACAAGGAAAAAGGCAGATTTAGCAGCATAAAGAATAAACATTAAGGATAGCAAGAATAGTAAAAGAGACGTAAGTAGAGCATTAACCTCAGAAGCTGTCAAGAGCAGCAGCACCAGTACCAGCAGGCACAGCTGAGGTAATAAGACAAAAACATTACTAAGAAAAGTAGGCATAGCAACGGTAGTAGCAACAGAGACAGCAATATGGCGGAGATGGAGAAGTCGGTCACACAGCTGGTGGAAGAAGTGGAGGAGTGGAAGAAGCCATCCCATGCCACCCAGTACTTTGCTGCTTTCTCGGGTAAGGAGTATACAGATGTGCACACGCCCACATACACACATGTGCAAATATACGCACACATAACCACACCTGGGTACGTACAACAAACACATATGCACTCATGGTTACAGATATTTTTAAAAGTTTCTCCTCGATTTATTGATTTATTTTTTAATGTATGACATACTTTATCAACATCTTACTTTAACACTCTATGTTTCTCCTCCCGAATAGCATCAATGAGTGCCATGGCTGTAGGCGCAGCCATCGGTTACTCCTCCCCTGCCTCTGCTGCACTTCGTTACACAAACTCCTCTGACGAAAATTCCGATGCTTTCTACCTGACCAAGGGGGAATTAGGTTGGTTCTCTGGGTCCCTCAGCATCGGGGCGCTCACGGGTTGCATGCTAGCCGGATTATGCATCAACAACATAGGCAGGAAAGGCACTATGCTGGTGTCTGTCGTGCCTCTCTTGATTGGCTGGATCCTGATAGGTCAGAATCTGTTGAATGTGGTCCTCCTGTTAGGCAGATATATTGCACTTGTATCACTTTTTAAATGTGTTCATACCTGCATTAATCATCCAAGTGATTGTCAAGGTACCTGCGTGATTTTTCGTTTTCTTTATTCTGCCTCCTCAGGTTTAGCTCAAAACCTAGCCATGTTGATTTGTGGACGCATCTTGTGTGGAGTGTGTACAGGCATCAGTTCCCTCGTCGTGCCCACCTACACCACCGAGTGTGCATCTAAGGACATCAGAGGAGCCTTGGGTAAGCAAACTGGCATATCCTCTCATCGTCAGTACATTCATTTCACTTGTTTTCTGTGACTAATCATCACCATCGTAACAAGAGAAAATGGAGCATACTGTAAATGAGAGTCATCGTTTATAACAGTCCTAGTGAACTGGCTGTCAGAACAGAAAAGTCGAACTTAAAATCTTATCTTCAAAGCATTTCTGAGGTGCATGCGCATCTCTGTGCCATTATTAGCTATTCATTTTCAAAACTGTAGCCGGAGATTGCAAACAGGCAAGAACACAGTCAAACAGACACTCTCCTTTATATTAATATATTAAGACAATCTACACTAATCATCCCAGGTTGGTAAAACATCAGAGGCAATATTAGCTTTCTAAGAAAAATATTTCATTCACAAGATCATCGAATTTAATTCCTGTATACTGTATATGTTAGATGGCTCTGGATGTGTCTGATGAAGAACTTCTTTAATCTTGGAGAAAAAGAACTCAAATGTGCTCTTGTGACCAACCCTCTATTTAAACTCAACCGAATATTTCCTCAAAACATGGAAAATTTTCTGCTGTTTCAGGAACGGGTTTCCAGTTGTTCATTACGGTGGGCATTTTGTACGCTTACCTGTTTGGTTCAGTGATGGAGTCATGGCGGTGGCTGACAGCGGTGTGTGCTGTCCTGGGTCTGGTGTTCCTTATGCTGGCTGTCTTCCTCAAGGAGTCGCCTCACTACCTCCTCTCTAAGGGCAAGGAAGCACAGGCCAGGCAGTCTATGCAGTACTTTCGAGGTCAGGATTTACAGTATTAATTTTTTTTCATTTGACTTTTCAATCAGGATATCTTAGTCTTCTTATTCACTTGGTTATAAATACTGTATAGGGTTATCTACTATTATGCTGTATTTCAACAGTATGTCCCTTTGCCTTTCTAGCAGGCTATATAATCTTCATTAATCTCTCTCTCCCATTTTCTGCCAGTCATTACCAACTACTTTTTCAAGCATAATTTTCAAACAATTATTTTCAACAGTTTCATTTGGTGATAATTTTCTTTAAAAAGGCACGAGTAATGCAAGAAAGATTTATGAGTACAGTACCGTACTTTATGGTTTATAAGACGCACAGGTATATAAGAAACACTCATATTTCAGCAGGAAATATTGTATTTGGGAAGAAATCTTGTGTGTGTGTGTGTATTTTCTCCTGTAACCATAGTTTTCTTACAATAAAGGGAAAATAAAATCCAAATTAGCAGTGATATCTCCGTTAGCCGGAACAACTGGTGGAGAGCACTTCCAAGAAAAGAGAGATTTCCGGGTAACGAGACGACTCTCTCAAAGCCGGAAAAAATCCCTCATCCCCGGAATTGCACGGAATTTTTTCGGTAACGGAAAAATGTTCTCGGAAGTTCCAGAAATTGCCCATTACATTATATATCGAACCCGGAAAAAATCTCTCATCCCCGGAATTTTCCGGGTAACGGAAAAATTTTCTCGGAATTTCCAGAAAATGCGTCTAATTTCCATCTCTCAAACCCGGAAAAACTCCATCCCTGGGATTTTCCAAAATTTTCTGGGTACCAGGAAAATTTTCTCTTAATTTTCCGGAAAATGTGACCCTCGGAAAATCGTTCCCAAATCCGTAATTTTCGGACAATTCCGGCTTTGGGAACGATTTTCCAAGAAAATTTCAATTCCAGCTATCGGAGAGTTCCGGGTTTGAGGGATTCTGACTAATGTCGATATTACTGTACTGTATTAGTACTCACTCAGCTGTTATTGTTACGATTGTTACTCATACTAAGATGTCCATACTCAATCAAGCCCAGAGTACTGTCCTCATATCTGAGGGTTGATGACCACAGTCCTCCACTCTAAACGTTCTCCAAAAACAGGAAATGACAACTAAATACAAGTCTTTGCTGCACGACAATAGATGATGTCACTCGCTAGTGAGACACTACAAATGCGTGTTGATGGCTGTTGATGTTATTCACCATTATCATCTTAATTATAAGTTTCTTTCAAAAGCTAAAGGACATGTTCTAATAAAAATGATAAGATAAATGTTTCAGGTATCACATTAACTCAGAAGAGTTGGGTGCCTGCCATACAGACTCTAATCGTCTATGGTTATCATCAGTACAGTAGTTATAAATCCATCTTTTATATTTACTGTACAATAACAACATAACATATTTTTAATTCTGGAGTTGGACTGGGTAGAATTTAGCCTGCTGAAGACAGCAACTGGGGGATTCATTAATCTACTGGAGTCTGCAACTTCACATATAAAATGCAATTTGATTTCTTTAGCCATTTAAAAAAAGTCATATTATACATTGTAAAATGCAATATAAACTAAAAAAAAAATTTCACCTTTGCAATTCATAGAATTAGGCAGAAAATGAAGAAAGCACTTAACAGTTTGCCTCTGAAATCGAAACAGATATCATCGATTTACGCTTATGTTATCCCTGCTACAGGTAAGTCCTACGACATCGAGCTGGAGATGGCGGAGTTGAAGCAGTCCCTAGAGGAGTCGTTGCAGGTGAAGGTGAAGATGAGTGACTTGACGAAACCTTACATCTTGAAGCCGCTGATAATCACTATGCTCCTGATGGTGTTCCAGCAGATGGCCGGCGTCAACGCTGTCATCTACAACATTGTCATCATTTTTCAGGTCACCCCCCCCCCCTCTCCGTATACCCTGTTAATTATTCTTCTGAGCATCATTCATATCATTCACGTCTCGCATCTTCTTTTCCTCTTCACTTGTCCTGATCCCTCAAGATATCCTGATTTCCCCCTTCCTTGTTTTGTATTAGAATAAAATCAAGCCAGAGTATCTATTCCAAATGTTCCACCTCCCCTCATATGTATTTCATTCAATAATTAGAACAGTTGCCAATTAAAATATTTCTCTCTCCTACACATACACACAGATTATAATCACATTAAGCAAGTGGTTATAAAGCATTAGTTACTTTACTCAAAGTGTATTAGATCAGCAGCTTCTTGAAGGCGAGTTTCTGGTTTTTTGAGTCCACATCTGATGGCTAACATGTTGATGTTTTAAGCTAAGCTGATCTGAAGCTGTATTAAGCAGATCTCAGACTGACGTGGACTAGAGGTTCAGTCTTATACCTGTATCAACAAAATATAAATTACATCAACATTTTCTACATTTCATATTATTAAATGTACAGTATTCTTAAAACTTTGGATTGATTAAATCTAAATTAAAAATTTTATAGAAACTTTATAGTTGACTCATTATTAACATCATTGAGTTTCGTTTCTGTTTTCTAATATCTTGTTTTAATCATAGTTTAAAATTTTTAATTCTGTAGGAAAGAGTATGGTATTTCAGCAGCAAAAACTTTTGGAAATCCGTTTTTAGATATCATATTATTTGGAAAATCTTAACATATTTTTTAACCAAACATTAAGAGGAAAATTTTGTGTCAGTTAGGAAAGTGGTTCTTATACCTCAGGAAAACAGCTGAGTACATAGAAAGTTCTCCCGCAGGACTCCGGCAATACGTTATCCGACGACATGTGCACCATTGTCGTAGGTGTCGTGCAGGTCCTGGCCACCGCCTCCTCCACCATCCTCATCGACCGTGCCGGGAGGAAGGTGCTCCTCTCCCTCTCTGCTTGCTTCATGTCAATTTCCATATGTGAGTGTAGTGTCTCATAAGTCTTTGCATAAAGAGTGTGAACCTTTCAAGCATGCAGGTATCCCCCTGGTTACGGAAGGGTAACGTTCCTAAAAATCTTTCTGTAAACTGAAATTTTGTAATGCGAAACCTTTTTACCATTGACTCCCATTATATAAGTTAAGATGCGTACCCAAGGAAAAAAATTTCAGCCCAAAAAATAACACAAGCATATACAGGTATATGAACGAAAATAAACACATACAATGATTAATTCATGATGTAACACGACAATAAATGCACACACTTGATTTTAACTCACCAGAAACAATGTTGAGTGCTGCAGGAGGTGGTGAGGTGAAGTGGTGCTACCAGAATTATTGGGAGATACCTCTTTAAAACACCAAGTTTAATGCCCAATGCAATTCCTTTATGGGATCTTTTATTACCACTGCTTTTACTTAAACTTGATGGTCTTTTTCCACTCATCTTGAATAAGGGTACACAGTAACACAGATGCATAACTGAACACAAACTGGGGAAAGAATTCTAACTGAGCAACATCACTCAGTTGCTGGCAACTGGAGAGGTGAGGTGAGCTACAAGACGGATTCTTGGTGGTAGCCTACCACCAAGAATCAAAACGAAATTTTTTTTTTTTTTAGTTTTGGTAAAAATTTGGATAAAATATTGCATTTTTGTAATAACAAAAATCCATATGGGCGATTTTTTCCATAGCCCAAAATTATGGTCAGAACTTCAAATTCCCATAAGCGCGCTGCTTCTGACTCATTCCTGCCTCTCTGCACTTGTTTACACTTACCATGAGTCTCCAACTATGTGTTTTTTCGTTATTTTCGACTTTGTGTGTTATGCAATCATGCCTAAATGTTCAAGTGATAATTCCTCTTGTGCTGAAGCTTGATGTGATGTGATAAGGCATAATAAGGCGTAATAAGAATGGTGATGCACCAGCAAAGATTGATTGGTAGTCTTGATTTTTTCGTTATTTTTAACTTAATGTGTTATGCAATCATGCCTAAATTCCCCAATGATAGTTCCTCTTGTGCTGCCCCTCTTGTGGGCAGCTTGATGTGATGTGATGTGATAAGGTGTAAAAAAAAGTTGTGATGGACCAGCAAAGATTGGTAGACTTAAACTTGCTGCCTAGACTGTCTCTACCATCCTCAACACAGGTAAATGACTGTCTCAACTTATACTTTACATTCCTTATTTATTGTTTAGTATGCTTGCTTTATATGCCTGCTTTTTTTTCTTTTGCTTGATAGTGTACACACCAGAGATATATGCATATATCAAGGGTAGATGGGAGTTTTTGCTGGGTGGCCAGTTGTATTCTTATGAGACTAATTGCTTCGATAACCATTGATTCACTAGCCAACGACTTTTCACGGTCCCTGTATCAGGGTATGCCTGTAAGTGGTACATTTTTCATAGTCATCAATAAATGCATTATGCCATATTCATTCATGTAGTATTCATTTCCATAAGCAAATTTATGGTTCCTTGTCCCTGCACGTCAGTAAATAAACTTACATAAAGGAGAGACATTTACTAGAAATCGGGAATAAAAAGCTGCTGCCACAAGATGCTGGAAGGTTTCTTAACTCCTGTCCTGTCACTCTTCCTGTACACTACTCTGAACAGTGTAGTTTAGGTCTGTCTAAGACCTATTCTACTTGCATGTGGACTCCTTAATTTGTAAAAGTGGGTGATGGTTCCAGTCCATAACAAGCAGAAATTTGGACATACCGTATATGTACTGTACAGTCATCCAAAGATCCAGCGACCCCACCCTGAGTCTCGTACTGGCAATTTTTCGTGGCAATACTTGGTAAAGTAAGGCTGTGTGTAAAGGTGATTGTGATGGGTGGATCTATTTTTGGCTGTATCACTATCGGGTAGGGTGGCCAGACGTCCGGTTTTTAAGCACTCTGTCCTCCGTCCGGCGCTACCTTGAGCTGGACGTTAATTTGTCCTCCTTTTTGTTGTCTAACTAAAAAAAATTATATAAATTACCTTAGGTATACTTAAAACAGCGGGAACTGAAGGCCATAATAACCATTAAAGTATTTTTATTATGTCGTTGCCATTGTTAACACTGCTGATGAGCCGCAGTGTACGACAGTACTCGTCAAGTTGTCAACACCGTCATCACGTCCGAGATGGACAGTAACGGACTATTATGTTATCATGGTCAGTCTGCCCAAGGCTGCAGTGGAGAGTGGTTGACTTTTTTGTTCTTCCTTCAATTTGGTTAGCATATGCTGTTTGAGCAAGAGTAAAAATGAATATTCATTTCTTTCAGTTCTTTATTTATACTGTATGAATGCATGTATGTAATATATACAGTGCGTTTCAATTTTTTTTTTTAAATTACCACAAAATAGCATTCATCTCATTATAGTGATATTTGACAAATCAACAATTCTTCTAAGTATATTTTGTATATTTTTTACAACTCTTTATATATATTCAACTCATCATTAAACATACTTAATTTAGGTTAAAAAATAGGTGTCGCAAAAAAAAATAGAAAAAAATTTCCTCCTTTTTGGAAATTTGAAAATGGCCACCTGAGGATAATTAGATATTAAACAATCCAAAGGTAGAACTTTAATAATAATAAACTATTCATTGTTATTTAAGGTAGTGAGAAGCTTCCAAATGTTCTTATACATTATTTGCTGAAACAATGAAGAAAATTTAATCTGAGAATCTTGTGGCAGCCCTTGTGTTTGAATTACCACTTCATTAATATAATTTCTTCATTATTTAAGCAAATACCTGTATACGAACATTTGGAAACTTCTCATGATCTTAAATAACAATGAATAGTTTATTATTATAAAAATTCTACCTTTGGATTGTTTAATATTTATCCTGACAGTGATAGAGCTAAAAACAGATTCTCTAATCACAATCCCCCCATTACATATATCCTCCCTTCACCAAGTATTACCGGATAAAATTGCGAGTACAAGAGCCAGGGTGGGGTCGCTGGATCTTTGGCTAACTACATTTAGATGCATCTCTTCGTAGAGTCGGTGTTATCTACAAGTACATTTTAAGGAAAGAACCAGCGGGCTCACTATTACTAATATTGTTGGGGGGACACTAGTTTGCTTCTTTTTCGCCTTTTTTTTCTTTTTTACGGCATTAGCCCACTAAAATAGAGCAAAATAGTAAATAAAAATATAATATAATACAATATGTCCGGTTTGGTGTCACAAGTATGGGTGTTTAATTCGTCCTTTTTTATATAAAACAGGTTACTTATTTTTCTATGTGTATAGTGGAAGGTGATAATTACTTGAGAGAGCATTAAGAAGCTACTTAGTTTGATATGTACTTCATTACCATATTAATTCCTGCCTCTATGTTCTTTGAAAATGGCTGGTGTGGTGGCCACAACACATAGTCTGTCTGGGTGTGTTCTTCTACGAGAAAAATAAGGACGAGACGTGGGCGGAAGATACTCTGGGTTGGCTACCGCTCACCTCCCTAATAGTATTCATCACTGCCTTCTCCATTGGTTATGGACCCATCCCCTGGATCATGATGGGTAAGTGGCCCAGGGAGGATGTACTCAAGAAGACTCTTTATGAATTGATGAGAGTAAGACATGATTAGATGGAGTAATGGATGTTAAGGTTATATTATCTGTCATTTACTTGGTAAGATAAACAGATGAAGAGAAAGATTACTGGTAGATTATGTATCATAACTTAGCTACATAAGTGATATTTAAGGAATTTGCAATTACAGTACTGTATTTAAATTTCATCTGCTAGCCATTATTAGCTATGACAGCCAAGTGGATAGAGCGCTTGCATCCTGACCAAAGGGTCACTGGTTCTTGTCCAGTCCACCCAGCTGTGAAGGTACTACCCAATTTTACAATAAGGAAGCATTTTAGATGATATGTCGAGCGCATCATTTTAGATGATAGTGTACGGGGGTATATATCCATACTGTAGAATCTATTATTAAATTATTTGTTGAGATATACAGACAGCACCTGCACGTTAAATAAATTCTCAGAGTATTGTTTATCCGTGGGCCAGGTGAGCTGTTCTATCCTAACGTGAAGGAGGCGGTGGGTAGCATGGCTACCACGCTCAACTGGACTTTTGTCTTCATCATCACTTTCACCTTTGAGCCTTTACAGGTAAGACTATTCTCTGTTGAATACCAGCAACATGTTTGTGACAAACTTGATGTTTTACAAGAAAAGGGTACTGTACACAGTACAGTAGCTGGTGTTTTTAAAACGAGAACCCAGAAGTCTTACCTAAATGGATCAAATTCACTGCTTGGAAAACACAAATAATAAATCCAACTCTCTCTATACCCTACTAGGAGATATGTCTCCCATTACAAAAATTTATAAAGATCATAAAACTAATTTGCACTGTCAGAGGGTCTTGCCTCATCATTAGCATTTCTGGCTGAATACCTTCACCAGGCTATTTCTTGTAATACACACCGACACTTACGTCATTCAGTGTCCTCAGACTACTCCAAAAATTTTCACCCAGGGTTGATATTTTAACCCAATGGGTAAACCAAACCACCCTTCTCTCCCCCTCACACCCATTGGACCCAAAGCAAAACAGTTAATCTCCAGAAATGGGAAGCTTATTTATTACATAGTACTGTACTAAGTGTGCAGACTCCAGCCCCTTTTATGACATCATTTCCAAATCTTTCTGTGTACAGCGGTGAAACGTGCACTGTATTTTGGTGTATGCAGCCCTACGACCCTATTCCTTGTAACCTAAAATCTCACTGGCATAGTACTTCCGTCACCATTTAGATATTTTTCTTTTGTTTTACAATGCGAGAGAGAAGATCTCACCCCCATCAGTCCATTTGTTGATATGGTAGTTAAGTCCCACAGTTCATAGATTTGAACTAGTGTTGTGCTCGGCAAAAAAAGGAGGAAAATTGTGTGAGAGTTTGGGTGAATGGACAGTAAAGCTCCTTTTAATTGGATTTTTGCTGAATATAATGAGTAGGTGACTGGAATAGTCACAGAAAATAGGATGTAATTTAAAAAAGTATTATAATTTCATTTATATTTCATTAAATTCATTTGTTTACTTTTTACCTTTAGGATAAACAATGAAGTATAACAGCGGTCCTAAAATCTTTTCAGTGTAAATATTCTGTATGAACCATGGTAAGAACTGGAGTTAACTACAGTGTTGTAATAATACATAAAGCCAAAATACCTGTTTTCTATGGGAAAATGAGGCCAGTAACAATAATTTTCGTTATTTTTACTAATTATAGTGTATGTATATATATATATATATATATATATATATATATATATATATATATATATATATATATATATATATATATATATATATATACTTCATTTTTGGTCCATATAACACGCTGACTTTGAACATATAATCAACAACCTCACCAGCCAGGACTCGAACCCTCGACCTACTGCGTAGGACTAGGGAACGTTACCGACTAAGCCACAAGGACACTTAGTCGGTAAAGTTCCCTAGTCCCACGCAGTAGGTCGAGGGTTCGAGTCCTGGCTGGTGAGGTTGTTGATTATTATATATATATATATATATATATATATATATATATATATATATATATATATATATATATATATATATATATATATATATATATATATATATATATATATATATATATATATATATATATATATATATCATTGTTTGTCTTATCTAGGATGCGATCTACACCTATGGTGCTTATTGGTTCTTTGGGAGCATTTGTGCCGTCAACTTTATCTTCTGTTTGCTGTGTGTGCCTGAGACTAAGGGGAAGACTTTACAGGAGACGACTGCCCATTTCGGTCATCCACCTTCCTAGGAATACTGTGACGGTTATGCTATGACATAATTAACTCTACAGGTTTTCCTTGTAATAACACAACATAGTTTTTGTTTTTTGCTGGACACAAGATTTCACTTACAATACTTGAAATAAAAAGTTTCATACAAGTGATGAGTGAACACTATCTGGTAATCCATGAACAAGTGTATAGTATATATTTTTTTATAATGTAGTTCCGTAATAATTTACATTATACATAACTTCACAAAACTCAGATAAAAAAGAATAACTCTTGCAGGTTTTGTATCATTCTATCATTGTTTGTTAACGAGAACATGATTGATCTCAATCAATCCACGACACCTACTATGAGAGGGAGACCACACCAGAAGAACCTCCAGGCTGCCCTATCACTACACATTGCAGATGTCCATTGCTTGTTAAGAGTCGATTGTAATACGTCAAATGCTTCTTGAGCTCTTTTGCATTCTAGTTGGTTCTCCCAGTAAATACTAACTAGGTTTTTCATCCTACTGTAGTCAGCTTTGTCTAGATTCAGGATTGTCTCCGTACATTGGGGTGGATCTGTGTTCATGATGAAAGTGAAATCCAGACTAAGGTGATCACTCGCTCCTAGTGGATCGCTCCACCATACCTTCCTCATTACGAAATATTAGATCATCAGTGGTTGGTACCTGTCTATAGCGCGTCGGTTGAGTCACATGTTGAAAGAGTAAATATCTCTAAGAGTTTCTGCAAACTTATTATCAGGGTTATTGGGTTTCATTCATCCTGGAGTAGTCGGTAATGGTGTCCAGGCAATTCCTGGATGATTGAAGTCACCCATAAGTAGCTTGCAGGCATGATGAGACTCAGCAGCCCACCTGATTGTCTCGTGTAAAGCATCATGTTTTGTTGTGGCTACTGTTGGGAAGCCACTTGTGTATATACATCCAAGAAGAAGTGTACTATTGATTCCTTTAAGTGTCGCCCATGAACTGTCTGGGAAAATTTCTTGAGTGGCCGCTGTGGTTTGTTTAGCTTCATATTTTTTATTAATGTACAGGTACATACTTGTACATCTGCTGCCCTGCCCTGAAGTGTAACAACTATGCAAGGGAGTTCATGTTGCTTCTGACTGGACCTGTGAGGTTTGTACAAGGTTGTTACACTTCAAAGACTTGGCTATAAGGAGGCGAGAAAACAGGTGGAGGGAACCCAAACCCCTACATCTGGAGTCTCGTATGTCCAGAAGACCAAGTCTAAGAACATAAGAACATAAGAAAATAAGGAGTCTGCAATAGGCCGGTTGGCCTGTGCATGGCAGCTCCTGTCGAGAGTTACTCCCACTCTCTATCATCCATGAATTTATCTAGCCTCCTTTTGAAACTTTCCAGAGTTCCCGCACTTACTACAAAGTTGCTAAGCTTGTTCCACTCGTCCACCACCCTATTTGTGAACCAGTTTCTTCCTATCTTCCTCCTAAACCTAAACTTATCCAACTTGAATCCGTTGCTCCGAGTCCTATCCTGCTCAGATATTATAAGAACTTTATCTATATCCCCTTTATTGATTCCTTTCACCCACTTAAATACTTCTATCATATCTCCCCGCACTCTTCGTCTTTCTAGGGAATGCAAGTTAAGTTTCTTTAGCCTATCCTGATATGGAAGGTTTCTAAGTCCCGGAATCATTTTTGTCATTCTTCGCTGCACCGACACTAGTGAATTTATATCCATTCTATAATAGGGGCACCAGAAATGAACAGCATAATCGAGGTGCGGCCTGACTAGCGCAAGATATAGTTGCAATAAGACCTCTGCACTCTTGTTACTTACACTTCTAGATATAAAACCCAATACTCTGTTTGCCTAATTTCGAACATTAACGCACTGTTTTCTAGGCCGTAGGTCCGGGCTTACAAGTACCCCTTGGTCTCTTTCACAAGTCGACTTCTCTAGGATGATGTTGCTAAGGCTGTATACATTATAAGTATTTGTTCTTCCAATATTAAGTATGCTGCACTTGCTGGTGTTGAATTTCATTTGCCATTTTTCAGACCACCCCTTCAGTATATTTAAATCCTCCTGTAATGCATTTGCATCCTGCCCTGAATTAATTTGCCGCCCTATTTTGGTGTCATCCGCAAACTTGCTTATGTCACTGCTGATCCCAGTATCTAGATCGTTTATGTAGATTATGAACAAGAGTGGGCCTAGTACTGACCCCTGGGGAACCCCACTGGTTACACGGCCCCACTCAGATTTAACACCATCTACGCTGACCCTCTGCGTTCTATCGGTGAGCCATGATTTTATCCAATTTAAAACTTTCCCCTCGATACCATGAGCCTTAATTTTTCTCAGAAGCCTCTGATGCGCTACTCTGTCAAATGCTTTGCTAAAGTCTAAGTAAATAACATCGTAATTTTCGTCATTATCTACTACCTCGAAGACTTTCCTAAAAAACGTTAGCAGATTTGTTAGACAAGATTTTCCCTTTGTAAACCCATGTTGAGAGTCGTAGATTAATTTGCTTTTCTCTAGATGCGATCGGATGCTATCTGCTATAATTGATTCAAGAAATTTCCCCACTACTGACGTCAAACTGATCGGCCGGTAATTTGACGCTGATGCTCTGTCTCCCTTTTTTAATATGGGTACTACATTTGCCTGTTTCCACAAGTCTGGCACAACTCCACGAGGGAAAATTTCATCCGGCCCTGGGGATTTTGTTTTCTTCAGTTTTTTATCTTCTTAAGATCATCCTCTTTTCTGAATGTGATATTCTTTAATTTCTCTTCTTCCTTTCCCTTAAATATCAGTTCCACCTCTGGAATTTCATCGCAAATTTCTTCTGTGAAAACTGATAAGTAGCTGTTCAATGCTTTGCTTATTTCTTCACTGCCATTTGTCACTTCTCCCCTCCCTGACTTTAAAGGCCCTACTTTGTCCTTGACCTTTGTCCTATATACCTGGAAAAATCCCTTGGGATTCGCCTTGGATTCTCTTGCTATTTTGATTTCAGTCTCTGCTTTCCTTACATTTTTCTTAACATTCCTAGATAGTTCATTATCCCTATTTCTGAGCTGCTCTTCCCCTCCCTTTAATTTCTTACATATTCCTTTCTTTATTCCTATGTCATGTTTAAGTTTTCTGGTCATCCACCTTGGCTCATTCTTATTTGACCTAATTTTTCTGTATGGTATATTTTGTTCTTGTGCTTTATGTAGTATACTAGTGAATATATTATAGTCATGATCAATTGTTGTGTCATCTATGACCTCACCCCTTCCTACTGGGGACTGACGTGACTGTTCCCAGGTGACCTCACCTAGGTACCTTCCTAACCCCTGATAATCTGCCAACCGAAAGTTTGGGACTCTGACTGTAGGTTATGTATATAAGCTACTGTGCCGAGTAGCAACCCTGTATATAAGCTGCTGTGCCGAGTAGCAACCCTGTATATAAGCTACTGTGCCGAGTAGCATTTATATATATCATCACGTAGCAACACTGCACGTTATGTGGCAACATTGCCCCGAGGCTGCCATATGGCAAGGCAGCCTTAGTCTGACTGTGTGAGCCGTGCATGGCACACGCGAGTCACCACTTGTATTTCTCTCATCCATAATAAACGGACTCAGTGTTACACAGTGTTTCCCTACCCATCACTGCATTCCTCAGGGAACACTAGTAACCACCATGGCGCAGTGCCTAGGATCTGTGGACTTTCAAAGTGTGTGAACTATGCCGAGACAGTTACGTCTGCCGGTGATGCGCGTCATGCGCGTCGACTCGTAGTGTTGTGTTGTGTTGCGCTGTGTTTCGCCGCGATGTGCAGTGTTGGGCCGTCACAGTGAGTTTTAGTGACGGTGGCAGTGTTAGTGTCAATGTATTAGTGTGTGTCTAGAGCTGAGTTGAGCATTGGCCTGTTTTTTGTGGTACCCACGGAGCACGCAGGCGTACACCCTTCTCGTGCGACATCCGGTGGGACACTGGTCTTGCCTCCGCCAGTCTAATCAGCAACCTGGGACTTGGTCATAATTTTTGTGTTGCCATATAGCACCAGGGTCTACCATTAGACAACACATTATGCTTCCAATATCTTCCCAGGTGCTAGTACCTTCCTGTTTGGTAGCTGCCTACTACCTGAATGTACAGTATAGTAACTATACATAACTGTAATCACTTTTACATTTTTAACAGCAGCTAGTGAGGGAACAATCTTCTACAAGGGCAGCAGAATATGAACCGAGTGATCTATGCAGTTAGGCCACCCACACGCCTGGCACATTGGGTTGCGTTGGAACATGATGCAATCTCTTGGAACACCATGAAAATTTATTCCCAGGCCCAGAATGGAGCGAGTTTCCTGAATTTTCTCGGAATTTTCCAGAAAATGTGCATCATTTTCAATTATGGAAAATCGTTCACAAACCCAAAAATGAGAGAAATTTTCTATAAAAATTATGAACAAACTTCAATTCCAGCATTTGGAGAGTTCCGGCTAAGGGAGATATTACTTGTACATCTTTTCAGGAGTCCAGGGAGGGTGTTGGTGGTACAGTAGTAAAGCAAATACCTTTCAATTACTTTTACCTGGGTTCAATCCCTGGCCCAGGACAATGTAAGGTTTTCTTTGGGTATTCTAGTTTCCTCCTGTACTAACACAGGACAATAAAGGTCATAACAAAGTAACAAAGAACAGGCTAAGCAATTGGCTAATAAGCCGATATATGGGGAAACGATAAATAAAGGAATGGGATAATGAATCGCCAATACAGAAGGTAAATAAAACACAAGTTCAAGCAAAGTCAATTATTGGTTATCCATATGTTCCTACAGACTATAGCAACCCAAGCAGTTACTGTAAGCATATGAAGATGCATGTCTCACAAGTACAAGTATAAAATAGGATTGGCTTATACCCTTGCTTAAACATATGGTCCTTAATTTGTGGTGGGAAGCATCTGGGCCAAGGTTGTTAAACAAGTGGAGGGAAATATCTGGGCCACTGCCAATACTCAAATTTTGTATTAATAGTAGAGGGAAAGAATTTTAAAATACATAATGGTTATGGAACAGCTGGTGTTCAGAGGAAAAACAGAAAATAATTGGTCCAAACCCTTACCACAAATACAGTTTTATAAAATAAGCACAGCACAAAAAAATACAGTAATAATAATAATAATAATAAAAATTTATACATGTGAAACATTTGACGAACGTATGTAAATTTGCACCTCCTGTAAATTACCAGAAGCAAAAGCTGTTATTGACTTATATGAAGTGAAC